GGGACGTGGTGGGTTCTTGGGGACGCTGTGGGTGTCCCGGGGATGCATCTCTGGAGCCAGGGGAAGGACAGGGCACGTGGGGACGCAGCTGGGGAACAGCTGAGCTTGCCAGGGGGAAATCTGGAGTGCGCCTCTGGAGCTGGGAGAAGGACAGGGCACCCCTGGGTGCTCCCAGAGCCTCTCCCCATGGCTCGGAGAAAGACAGGGCACCCGGAGCGCATCTCCAGGGCCAGGAGAAGGACAGGGCATCCTGGAGGTGCAGCTGGAGAGCATCTCCGGAGCTGGGAGGAGAACAGGGCACCCCAGAGTAAACCCGGAGCGCATCTCCATGGCTGGCAGAAGGACAGGGAATTCTGGATATGCACCCGGAGCACATCTCTGGACCCAGGAGAAGGACAAGGAAACCCCGGGGTGCACTCAGAGTGCATCTCTGCGCCTGGGAGAAGGACAGGACATGCTGGAGGCGCAGGAAGAGTGTGTCTCCAGGGCCGGGAGAAGGAGAGAGCACCCAGGGGTGCACCCGGAGCACATCCCAATGGTCCGGACAAGGACAGGGCATGCAGGGAGTGCACCCAGAGCACATTGCAGTGCCTTGGAGAAGGACAGGGCATGAAGGAGGTGCACCAAGAGCACATCCCAATGGTCCGGAGCAGGACAGGGCATGCAGGGAGTGCACCCAGAGCACATCCCAGCGCCTTGGAGAAGGACAGGGCATGCAGGGGGTGCACCCGGAGCACATTCCAGCGCTTTGGAGAAGGACAGGGCATGCAGGGAGTGCACCAGGAGCACATCTCCCTGGCTAGGGGAAGGACAGGGCACCCCGGGGCGCACTGGAGTACGCAGCAAGCAGCTGCCATTGCCCCTTACCTGCCCGTTCTTGCAGAGGTCGGCCCACATGCTGGTGCCGTCGCCACCGCGCATGAGGACGTGGTAGGTGAAGAAGTAGGTGCCGGCGACGGCGCAGGTGAACTTGCCCGAGGCGGCGTCGTAGCTCCCTGGCTAGGGGAAGGACAGGGCACCCCGGGGCGCACTGGAGTACGCAGCAAGCAGCTGCCATTGCCCCTTACCTGCCCGTTCTTGCAGAGGTCGGCCCACATGCTGGTGCCGTCGCCACCGCGCATGAGGACGTGGTAGGTGAAGAAGTAGGTGCCGGCGACGGCGCAGGTGAACTTGCCCGAGGCGGCGTCGTAGCTGTTGCCCAGGTTGGTGACCACGTCGTCGAACTTGAGGATCTCGTAGCCCTCGTGCGGGTTCTTGAGGCCGGCGTAGAAGGCGACGCGGGGCACCGTGCTGTACGTGGCCGTGCTCACGGCGCCCGCCGCCCCGGCACCCG